TTTCAGGTCAACATCGGTAAGCCAGAACGAGCATTCCAAGGCTACCACGTGCACACAGCAGCCACTCGCTTTAGTTGGGAAGAGAGCACTGTGGAAGAGCGCCTTGCGGCTTTGCAAGGCCGGGACTGGCGACGAGGCCGAAAGGCTTACGAGTACTTGATCAGTTGCGCGGACAGCTCCTACTCGGAGTTCTTGAAAGCACACACGAGCTTTCTGCGCCGCAGGAAGCGTGATATCGCTGCAGGAGATGTGGATCCGTGCCGAGCCATCCCATTCCTGCCGATGAACTTCATGGAGACGATTGGCCTTGAATGTGCAGTGTGGCCGCATCTCTATTGGACCACCCACATGTGTGAAACTTTCATCCGGAGTCAAGACATTCGCCGGCAAAACCGCAGCCCGAACGCAGTCGCAGCGAACGTGAGCGATAGTTCGGATTCGGATAGGTCGGAAGATCCCGAGATCGAGGAGCCGACGGGTGTGCAACAGAAACAGCGCCACAGCGCCAAGGGAAGCTTTTTGGCCAAAGTGTTGTCGTCCGTGATCGGCTACGGCGCTGATCGCGAGCTGAGCCAGTTCGTCTACGATCTGTGGCTCTGGAGCTCGCTCGGTGCGGCAAAGCATGTCCAAGGCACGACACTGCGGGGAGCGCTGGCGAGCAAGACGTTTTCCCCTGCGTACTGGCAAACACTACATCAAGGGCTGGTCGATTGCGTGTCGCAGATCGGCTTTCCGCATCTGTTCATTACGATCGCGCCTTACGAACCCTCTGCACCGTACCATGCTTGGATCGAGGACGAGCTCTCCAAGATGCTCCGCACGCGCACGAACTTGCCGGCTCCCGAAACCTTCCACCTCGCCCACCTTCTCCTGCAGGTCGCCGAAGGTCTCATATCTGGTACTAACCGGCAAGCAGCAGCGAAGAGTCGCAGGTGGACCGAGCATGTTCTGGCGGCAGAAAATCCAGATATCAAGACAGTGAAGGAGATTTTCGGTAGGCTGGAGTTTCAGGACGGCAAGCGGAAACGTCATGTCGGACCAGCTCAGAGCTATCACGGATCGGGGCGAACTCATCTGCACCTGCTGGTGTGGCTCGACAACCCCGAGGCGATTCCTTGGCAACGAATTCTGCGAGCAGACCTGCCGTGTGAAGAGCCCGAGCTTCGTGACTTGGTGGAAGGATCACAGCTGGACTGGGACGACAGTGCTTGGCCGTTGCGCGAAGCACCCACTCAGTTCGATTCGGAACAGAACCGCATCTTGCTGCAGCATCCGGCCGACGCCAAGGCTGCAAACGTCCGAGCTTGGATGCCGGACGTCATGGGGGCGATGTGCTGCCACATGGACGTTCAGACTGGCGACGGCCGTGAGCTTCTGCTTCAGTACGCGGCCAGTTACAGCGCCAAGTTCTCAGACCAGTTCGCCACAAGCTGGCTGAATGAGGAAGCCACAGATTATCATCTGGCGCGGCGCATTCTCTCCGAGTACCATCCCCTGGAACCGGAGATGTGGTTGCAATTGGCTGGTCAGACCTTCCGGCAGGTGGTCATGACAGGGATCGTGAGGCGGGTTAGCATCAAGATTCCATGGAAAGAGTGGCCAGACCGTCAACTGGAGGCTTACATGACATGCACCTGGCGCCGCGAAGACCACAGCTTCCTCCAGTACTTGCGCCTCAGCAACAAGAACGGAAGCAGACGCAAGAACAAACGCAGGGTGCTGGTGGCGGCTTTGACGAGAAGCCGGATGACCGACGAGTTCTATGGACAGTGGCTCGTCCTGAACATTCCTTTCCGGCAGGTGGACGAGCTGTGGGACGAACGTGTGGAACGAGTGCCCGAAGGCTACCGCATGCTGGCCCTTTGCTTGTTAAAGAAGCCAGGCCTATGGGAGCGGCCGCTCAAAGTGCGTGAGCAGCTCAAACTGGCAGGCTATCGGGAAGCGCCCATGAACAACATCCTCGAAATGCTGGTGGCCCACACGACCATCATCAAGGCTTACCTGTCGGGATCCTTGAGGCTGGAAGATGATCCGTATCCGCCAGTCGAGCATGTGGCGGCACCAGAGCTGGGCTTTCGTGGACAGCTCGAGCCCGAACAGGCTGCAGTGCTCACGAACATCAAGGATACGGTCATGTGGGCGCTTCGCCGGCGATATCCCGATGAAGCAACTGCAGAAGCTCTGCAAGAATACCTTGGAAGACCAGAAAGCCAGCGGCCTCGCATCGCCAAGCCGTTGTGCGTGCTGGGGCCTGCAGGCAGCGGAAAATCTACTTGCGTGCAGGTCGCCATTCAACGGGCCGTGGAAGCGGGTGCTCACGTGGGAATCGCTTGCCCGACAGGAATGCTGGCCAGCAGCTATCGCGAGAAATTTCCAGATCTCGACGTTGACACTTTGCACGGCATGTTCCTCCTCCACAGGGAGCAGCACCACACCTGGGAATGCATGGCCAATTACGATATGGTAGTGATTGACGAGGTCGGGCAACTGTCGCAGAGAACCTTCGAGCGGATCCTTTGGCTGTGGGACAA